GCTTGAACTTGCGAGAAATCTGGAATCACTGGATGCTGAACACTTCCCATTGAACGCTCTTCATGCAACCTCAACTTTCGAACGTATTCTTCAGAGGCAGGTAGCTGAGACGATCACAGGAACGCGTCAGGTACGATACAGAAGTGAAGAATGGCGTTAGTAAAGAACGCAGAGCATTGGATTAGCTTCAGCGCCCGGGATAGTAGGTCAAAATGGGTGGAGATCTCATGCATCGGTGTTGCCATGCTTACACTTCGAATCTATCTCCGCAGGGCAGGTTCGAGGAACTAGCATGGCAGCATCAAGGCATGGGTTCTCCACCCATTTTGGCCTACCATCCGAGGCTGAAGCTGCTCACTGTTCTGAGAATGAAGAAAGATTTACAGGCAGAGCTGGCGTATGTTGGATGCACGCTCCGATCTGATGCCCACGGAAAGCAGCTGAGATTAACGGAACTCGATAAATATAGTGTCAATCTCAAGATGATCGAGAGGCTAAAGACTGTATATAACTGCCCTCTTAGTTACAATAGCTACGTGGTGGGTTACCTGAATTTGAGCCTTTACTATTGGACTTGCTGCTCTAATGCCTTTCTTTGACTCTAGGGTTTGAATTCGGAGCAAATATGTCATCAAATCTTGCAACAGTCAGTCCAAAATCCGAACTTGATGAAGAAGAATGTGGAAAGATACGCACGTCAGTTCATGGCTGAGCACAATCTGGAACCGGATGAGACCCTTTACCGCTACATCGAGGTAAATATGCTCTTGTATGAATAGACTATTCTATGCAGGTGAGAGGGCTTGTGAGCTTGGCGCGGCGCCAAACCCATTTTTCAGCAGTTGTTGGAGGGCAGGCGATACTCCATCATATAGTTCCTATCAGTAGTTTTCCATCAATTTTTGTCAGTAACCCGCTTCAGCAACTGTTGGAGGACGTGGAGAACGAGTTATCAGCGCACGAAACTCAGCCTTACTGACACGCCCCATCATTCGCAGCGGAAAGGACTGTAAGCGCATCAGAGAACTCCCGGAATGATTGAACGTGAATGTGCTCATCTAATACAGTTAATGGTTGTAATTATAGCTCACAATCAGAGCTCTCACTTCTAGAATTCTTAGAAAGGCGGTGGCCCAAAGCGTAACAGGAGCAAGTTTATAAAGTTCATTAGGAGGGGACTGGTTGCTCGGCTCAGAGGTACATTTCAAGGAGGAGCCGAGTGATGAGCTTGAAGCTTAGTAATTCCTGTCACATGCCATCCTTCACCTGCTGGAGACGTACGCTGGGAATCCCCACTTATGAGGGGGGCGTATCTTACCTGAGAAAGTTCCTTTTTTAGTTGATTTTCCCTGGTTTACGCGCGCTTCTACATCATTGAGGGAGAAGAGAGGAGCGTATTCGCTTGTCTCTCTGAGAGGGCGCAGCTAGCTTGAGAAGGTTTTTTCCGGGAGCGAGAGTTTTTCCCGGTTGCTTCTTCGCGGTTTTCCCCGTGATGCATGCGCTATATACCTACCCCACCTCCGGTTCGTGTTTGATCGGCGCAGAAAAGTCGTGGCCACAACTGCGGTAGTCGACTTGAACAGTTGTTGGTGGCACCCTCCCCTTCCTCCCCGAAGAGAAGCGAGGAATTCATTTGAGGAACGTGAAGAGGGGATTGGGAAAAGTCAGTAAGAGGGTAGGTAGGAGAGGGAGAGGGTCGTATTTTGCCAAATTTTCCAGTAAAACTTTGACAAAAGAAGTAGCCAGGCGTTGACCTCTGCTTGTAGACTGCGCCTCACACTCCACAATTTGTAGTCGTCGCAGAACAGCGTCAAGAAAACGACGTAGGGGGTCACACCTTTCTCCCTAAACGGACAAACACCTGTATTTAGGCAGCCGTCACTGCTCGAGTACCAAAAAAAGGCCATCGAGGCTTCTCCACAGCGGAGGTGTGACGGTGGTG